CAAAATTTAACACTATTGCAATACTGAAATGATGGTGTTTGACGATTTTGGAGAAGATCCATAGAATTTTAAGAACCTAGGTCTGATTGACACTGCTGGTTGAGTATGTCTCAGCATAATTATTTCGTAGGACCATTTTGTACGTAGAAAGAATAGAAGTAAGGATTTTAGAAGGATGTTAAGTAGAACAACTAGACCAATCTGCCATGTATCGTCTATATACAGATTGGTGTGCAATATTTGGTATTCAATATAATTTAAAAGATGGGAGATTTTCACGGTGATTTTGATGTGAATACCGAAGAGAATGACGAATTTTGATTTTTGACTTTATTGTGAATGATAGCGGTGTATAAGTGACGTTACAAAATCTGCTATCAACTCCAAGTTTGATTTTGTTAGGCAATCATAATAATGATAAAATATATCAATATACTATTTTTCAAGGCTTTAACTTCTAGAACAAAAAATTATCTATTGTGCAGAAAGCATAGTTAAAGCACATACAACCTGATTCCTTCAAAGGATAAGACGCCCGTGAGCTTATATAGTTCATCGTAGGTTTATAAGCGATTTGAATCCATAAACTAATAGTTTTGATACATTCAGATGAGGTGTCCAGTTTCCGTTCGTCTTGGCTCGCGCTTTACCAATGTTCTTGCATAATACTCAACCGCATCAATCAGTAACATGAAGTATTTCCAATAGATAGGCTGAAAAGTTTGATAGTTAGGGCCTTTAGCTAGGAACTCTCTAAATTGTTTATTGTGTTTGATGTTTATTACTGGGTTATATCCATTCGATTCATATACAACGAAATATGACTCATATGCATTGTTACTACTTATCATGTGCTTACATTCACTTAGTTGATACTTGACATAACTTATTAATTATATACATTTAAAAGTTCGTAAATTCAGTCATATTGATTGATAAGTTAATTGGCAAAAAATATCTATTCCATTGACTACACTAAGGGTAATTTTTTATCCTAAATTTCCACAAAACGTAAATGAGGTTCTTTCCATATATATAAAACATACATGAAAAATGTTAAAGTATCTGACAACTTTTTTTGGCATATAAAATCACTTATAATGTCATGACAACATCATAATACTACCTCCTGAGGAAATATTAATATCTTTATAACAATAATCACATACACAACTGATACAGACATGTATGGTTTTTTTCCTTTACATTCAGGAATTAGGGTCAGTTGAGAAATGATGTAAATTTACCCAATATAATTCATAAAGCATCAGGACGTTCAAATTAAGTTAAAAGTTGGAAAAAAACCAATTAGTTTTGCTCGTTAATCAGATTGCACTCAAATCGGTTCTTACACTGCTTACCCTTCCGGATCGGAGCACCTGAGATCATCCTCATATTTTGAGGGGTTTGTGTTGCTCAGTCTTTAGTTTTTATGTTGTGTTTTGTATAATGTTGCTTGTCTTTTGATCGTTTTTCTTTTCTTGTCATGTCATTGTCAGTTTGTTTTCGACTCATGAGTTTGAATAGTCCTTTGGTATCTTTGCTCTCTTTTATATGTATGATTGACAGAGCCATTTAAATTCTTTTTTGATATTACAACGAGTTATGTAAAGTTTTCATGCTCGGGTATATATAATTATGTTCGAGTGAGTTAACTTCTGTTTTTTAAGAGGTGTACATTCACTGAATGATTTTTAAGTTACATCACTTTCCAATCCCGCCGTTGACCGCTTATAATAGGAAAAGCAAAGAAGGAGAGGAGCTAAGACTAGTGCCCTAACTTCCATTTCAGAAGTTGTTATTGCACAATCTGGTTCAACCTCCTTGGCCTAGTAAACAATGTAATCAATGACCATACAATTCCCCAATAAATTTAGATGAAATGCATACACAACAATATATCAAAGCATAAATTCAGGAAGGGGGCTTTACCCTATACTAGTCAAACTTGTAAAACTATAACTCAACTTAAAATGGTTCCATAAACGTGAAGCAAACGAATGCCCGAGGAGAGCTACAAAAAAGGAAAAACGTGATGAAGAGGTGATATTGATAAATTGGTGGATACTTGTTTTTCGCGTCAACATACATATTCCAAAAATATGTTACTGGATGTTCAATCGCTTCATTTCCACCACTTTTCAAAGGTATATATCCGTTATTTGAGTACGCTTCTAATATTTGTCTCTGGACCTTACGCAATCCACATTCATCAACTAATCGATCTTTTTGCTGAAGTTGGGAAAGGTACAATACCTTCACAATACGGTTCCTTCTTATCACAACTTTTGACTCTACTAAAACTACACGTCTTATTGGTTTTGAAAGCAGGCAACAAGGTATACACCTAACAAGATTTTGCATCTTTCCCTCAATAATTTTCGGGGGGGGGGGGGGGGGGGGGGGCACTTTGATAACACATAAATCTCTCTCTGGTCATTAAACCTTGATATAAATATCACGGCAACAATCCATTTGCATTTAAATGTATCATAAAAATCAAATCCTACTGAAATACTGAAAAAGTACAGTTAAGTTAACCTTTGACATTTGTCATCGCCTTTTAAAGTTACAAAATCATATACAGCCACGCCTTACTCATTAACTTGCTACGCTTTTCGTTAAATAAATACGTTAATTCGTTAAAGGCGTGCTATATATATATAACTTATAGAAAAACCCACAGAAAATCTAGTCGTATTTTAGCTCTGTTGACGACAAACTGAGACATTTTGTCCTTTGGATAAGTATTGTTAAGTATTGTTAAGTATTATTTCGTTTGTGAGCGCCAGGAAAACTAAAAGTTTATACACGTATAAACCTTTTATATGACGTCTTGAGTATAAATTACTACACACTGGCAGTTGAAATAGTTTTGTGAGTGTTGATGAAAATTACCATCTTGAATTCATTTCATAGCTTTTATTGGAGTAATACTTAAGTATTTAGGGGTTCTTTTTACGGAGTGATAAAACACAGTTTCATTCTTTATTCCTTTATTCTTATAACTTTATTCAGTTTGTAAATATTGTTCTAGTTTTTGGATCAACAAACGCATTCAAATTACTAACATTGATATATTAAAAAATGTTTACAACTTATTACTTACAACACCCGTTTAAGCGCCGTGTGTCGCATATGACGCGAACGGAAGCCTTCCATCTGAGTCTGTCTGCTGCTTGTTGTACTTCTCCCCATGTCCTCCTTCCAATGTCTGTTCTTTCCTTGTCTACCATTCGTCTTCAAGTTTTCTTTGGTTTTCCTACATTTCTCTTTCCTGGTAGTGTCCACATCAAGGCGATTCGACAATCGTTCCGTGGGTCCATCCTCAGGATGTCACGTATCCAACTCCATGGTGTTGGTGATGCTGAACATGTTGGCTCTTTGCAGCAGTTCTGTGTTGGAAATCATAATTGGCCAAAATATCCTGAAGATTCTACTCAAGTTTCTGGTGTTAAAGGTGTTAAGTCTTTCTCCATCTCTTTTACTTTTCTTTTTAACATTCTGCCCCATATAAGAACACTGACAATTTGCTTTAGTCTACAATTTTAGTTTATTGAAAGACCTTTTGTCTGATTTTAAAAATATACCTTTATAATATTCGAACTAGCTCTCGCCGCGATATAGCCTTTCTGTGCTAATGCGGCGTAAAACAAACAATAATCAATCAATCAATCAATAAGAACACTGATACTATATTGCTTTTATAAATTTTCATTTTGGTGTTCCTACTGTATTGGTTTGATGCCCATATTTTTCTTAACTTATAGTATGCTGCTCTTGCTCTTTTTGTTGTATTCGTATTGTCGGCTGTTGCATTGTCGCTGGTATCTATAACAACTCCGAGGTATGTAAAACTGTCAACATCTCTATTTCTATGTTGTCCAATGTAATAGGCTGGATGTTGTTTATCTTTACACACATTGTTTTACTTTTCTTCTTGTTTATTTTTAATCCAGTTGTTGCAGCTATCTTTTGTATATCATCTGTTTTGGCTTGCAATTGTGTTCTTGTTGCTGACAGGAAAGCTATATCATCTGCAAAATCAAGATCTTTTAATACCCATAATCTTCCCAAGTTGATACCACGCCTTTTTTGTGTTGTTTGTTTCATTGTCCTGTCTTTAACCAGTAAGAAAAGGAAACCAGACATTAGACATCCTTGCCTGACTCCCGATTTAATGTGGAACCATTCCGAATGCTTACCCTCATGTTCAACTACACAACTGAAGTGATCAGATCATAAAATTCTTGCACCATCCTGATGATGTTACCTGGAATTCCATAGTTTGCCATGATCTTTTTTAAAGTTTCTCGATGGATAGTGTTAAACGCCCTTTTGAAGTCGATAAAGTTGACAAATAGGGGGCTGTTCCATTCAATGCACAGTTCTACTATATTTTTCATGATTAATATTTGGTTGATACAGCCTTAATTAACCTCTTTGGAACCCAGATTGTTCTTTACGTGGAATGGTGTCAATAGCATCTCTAATTCTGTTTATGATAATTCTGCAGAGGACTTTCCCAGGTACAGATAGTAATTTTATTACTCTCCAGTTGTCACAGACTTCTAAATTTCCCTTTTTTGAGAGTTTGATTATAATTCCCTTTTGCCAGTCTGTTGGTATTCTTCCCTGTTCCAAATCTTTGTAAATACATGGCAAAAGACTTTTGCTATTGTGCCTATATCAGCTTTCAATAGTTCAGCTTGTATGTTTAACACTTCCTTATTGGTTTCATCAACTCTTCAACGTTTGTATCAGGTTTAATACTTTCAGATATTTTATGGCCTTAATCCACGGCTGTCATTCGGTATATCGAGAAAAATGATCGTGAAAGAATAAGTAACTCTGTTCAAGTATTGCGATTGGATCGTGAAATATCTGGTATAGGATCGTGAAGGAAATCTTATTGTGAAGACACATGCAACGTCAGTAAACAATCTAATTTAATCAATTATAATAACAAAGAATGGAAAAATAAATGTGTCTGTCAAAATGGTTCAACATTATAATCAGTATCCAAGAAAAGTCAAGGCTTAAAAGTACACCGTTTTTACAAAACTACAAACGGCAGAATGCTCCTCGAAATTTCAGAGAAATAAAAATGTAAACAAACATGACTTTTTTTCTGCATATGTTTTATGTCGTTTGAAAAGTTAAGATGGTCTCATCTAATTTCCATTAAATTTCATGCACAGTCATATGTATAAAACGAAGATTCTTGTTCATATTTGTAAAAATTGGAAAAAAAACCTTCAAAATGATGCGCACAACCTTCAATTACTGATACGCAAGGCTTCCAATAACTGATGCGCAAGACTTTTAAAAATGATGCGCACGACTTTCAAACTGATGCGAACGACTTTCCAACTAGTGCTCACGACTTTCAAATTGCTGCGCACCAGTTTAAAAGTCGTGCGCACCTGTTTTTCAAAGTTGTGCGCCCCAGTTTTACAATGTCGTGCACACGAGATTAAAAACCGTGCGCACGAGTTTCAAAGTAGTGCGCACGATTTTTAAACTTGTGCGCACCAGATTTGATATCCGACAAACGAAAATATTTATATTTACATGGCACTTAAGGGGCTCTGTAATACATATGACGTATACACTTTCCCGATAAAATACAAAATAAGCAAAATATAAATACAAGGGTATACAAAATGAAAACAACACTATAAAAATCTTATAATCGCTGCTAAGGTGAGGAAAATTCATAATTTCAAAATAGAAATCATCTCGATTGTCATAGACTCTGGTACTGAGATGACCGCTGTAATCAAAGTCGATGATTAAATTTTGATTAAAATGTTATTTAAAGATTAGGGGCAAAGTTTCACTTTTGAATACGTAGTGTTTAACCAGACGTATTCAGATCGTCATCCACGACTTTAGTATTTATGATGAACCGTTTTCCGTTTTCTGCTGGATTAAAAATCACTTCTTCATAAACAGTTAAATGTTTTTGCTGCAAAATAAAATTAAAAAATAACCTTGATAAAATGTTTTCACAAATATGATAGCATTAAGAACGTCTGTATATTTCATATCGGTATATAATGTTTATATATATAATTATATTTCTTTGTTATACATAGAAAACATTGAGTGCCTTAGGACTCATTTGAAAAAAAACTTGATAAGCAACCCATTTCTATTTGAATGTCTATGTTTTACTTATAATATATCGTTTGCGTTACTTTTCTGAAAATTGTCTCAAAGTTAAGAACAGTATACACATGACGAAAACGTTTATACAATGTACAATGTAGTAAGTAATTTAAATTGTCATCCGATAACTGCGTCGCTTGAAAAGTGTATAAATTATTTTTTAGAACTTTATCTGAAAACAAGTTTTATTATATGATTTAAGGTAGATTAATTGTATACTGCCATCTTTGATTGGAAAATAGCAGTACACAATTGGTCTAGTATTCTACTTAAATCTGCAAGTTTTGCAACAGATTGGCAACTAATGTGTAAGACAGTTTATTTAAATAAAGAAAAATAAGTGATTTATTGCATTATTAAGACTGATTTAGAAAATACCAAATATTTGTTTTTATTTGATTCCATTTTTCAACTTAGCCATATAAGGGGAGATAACTCTTTTAGTAACAATTTTATGGGGGAATGTTAATGAAATTTCTATTTTTACTTGTAGCAAGAAACAAGTTTGGTGACACCATTTTTTCTTTTTATTTTCTTAAAACATATTATAAAACGTATCTTGTCATGTTTTATTTCAAAATCTTGCACATGTATTTCTTTTTATTCACAAACAAGTGTTTTTTCAAGAATAATCTACTATCTTAAGCACGGTGACCCCCACTTTTTATTATATTTTTGAAAAAAAGCATTGGAAAATCTACATTGTGGCAAAGTATGAAAAAATTCTATCTCAGGAAATATAAAGTGATGATCCACCTTAAAACGACACATTACGAGTTTAGTCGTTTACGTTTTTCTTTTTCAGTTGGCCATGGGTTCGGTGACATTTTTATCAGAATCGCGGAGAAACCAAATGACGAAGCGATCATTAATATGCTATTACAACAACTAAAAATTAACATTAATGTTATCATGCATAGTAGTTATATTAAGAGTGTATACATCACGTCCGTTCTGTGTTTAACCCAGTCATATTCTTTATGTGCGTGTTCTAAGTCAGCAGCCTGTAGATCTGTGGTTGTCATTGGTTCATGTCTGTCATATTTGATTTTCGTAAATTGTTTTGTTATGAATTAGGCCGTTAGTTTTCTCAATTGAATTATTTCATATTTTTATGTCGGGGCCTTGTATAGCCGACTATACGGTATGAACGTCTTCATTATTGATGGTCGTACGGTTGCCTACAATTGCTTACATCCACTTCATTTGAACTTTGGTGAATAGTTGTCTCATTGGCAATCATAATACATCTCCTTATTTAAATATCAAATGTTTCCAAGAATTTTTGCTTTTGGTCAGCATTCTGTCAACACGCATTTATTTTATGGGCACGATATACTGAATGTATCCCTAGATGTTAATGATGTTGATCTGTGGAAGATCTTGAAGATGTGTTGTTAAATAAATATTCTCACGAACACAGCTGCAAGTTTTTATATTTTTAAATTTGCATGTCAGATCGTTACTTCATTCAGCTTTTGGTAGAGTTTATATGCAATTATTTTTTGCAAATTCAAACGTTAAGTTACGATGCAAATTTAAACTTAAAGTTACGATGCAAATTCAAACTTTAAGTTACGATGCAAATTCAAACTTTAAGTTACGATTCAAATTCAAACATATTCCGATGAATAACATAAAATACAAATACAACAAGAAGACAGCATATACAGGTGGCACGGTAGTATTTCCTGGCCCATAAGGGATAATGATAGCCTTTTTAGAATTTTCACCACTTTCTAACACTGCTAAAAATTCTACATTCACAGTTAACTGAAGTACTTTCATTTTACTATTCAGAAATGAATTTGAATATGTATCATGACCGTTTACTTTTTTTGCTATCTTTAAGAACCTAAGGTCACTAGTGCTTTTAGGTCTTTTATCGTGCAGTGAATACAAAATTTAAAAAAAATCTCAAAAATTCATTTTCATCTGTATGTAAAATTATTTCATATTTTTCTACACCTGATTCGTCCCTCAGTTTGGGAAAGTATGTTCAGTTGATACTGTATTTTTTGTCCAATCATAATGTTCAGATACATTGACTTAAGTAGGGTACACAAAAGAGCAACCTAAATTCTGGAATGCAAATACTACCGTGCTACCTTAACCAAGACATTTCAAAGTTGAAATCAGTCATGACACCTATGATGGATAGCCTGCTTACTATGTAACATATTACAATAAAGAATACTAGTCTGCACTTATTTCTTACCAAAAAAAAAATGAAAGATTACACCCCTACCCCAGCTGTCAGATTTTCACTTTTTTATCATCTTACCATTTTTACTTAAGGAGTGAACAAAATCCAAATATATGATGTTTCAAATCAACACAGAAGTCAAACATGGTGATTCAGGAGGAATTATTGGATTGCCAACTCTATTTATAGTTAATCTGACTGAAAGAAACAGTTTAAGCACCAAATCATGAAAAATGATATTAAAGTCCATTCCACATTTTACAGCATGCCTTACATTACTTTAAGCATTTCCAGATTATGAAGGCAACACAACAAGATTCTTTAGATGGCAGTTAACTATTATTCTAAAATCTTTTTGACAATATATGTACTAGAATATATCTCTAAGTTGACTGTTTGTCTATTTCTCATGTATGCATTAAGTTAAATTATGTCCCCTTACATAATCATTTTCCCTTTATTGTGCTTTTCATTGTCAGAAAATCAAAACAATTAATGACATTTGCATGGAAAATGAATAAACTATTTAATCTTGCTGATAAACAATCATAATTACATTCTTTGTCAAAAAAAATGTCTTGTCAGTGTAAAGAAACCCCTATTGCTATCCCTATTTCAGCCAAATATGAGGGCTAAATGAATCAGTAAGGACCCCTTAACCACTTGCTGGTTCCAAAAAAGCTCATACTGGTGTCATGTTACCACAGAACTACAAATTAAACCTAAAGAAAACTAGTAAAGCTGTACTTGTGTGGAAAAAAATAAGAAATTATGCAATTTATTTATTTCGGTGAAAATAATAGGATGTACAGGCAAATAAAATATGTCGCGTCTCAAATTCCAGTGGTTGCACATGTGTCAGACACTGCGAAAAGTTAAAGCGAGCATTTATAATTAAAAATGTATTGCAAGTTACATAAAAATAAAGAAGTTCTACTTTCTAGGTAAATTTTTACCTTATTACCCACAGATCAGGCAAAATTTGCTGAATCAGCAATTTTCACTCCCAGGGGTGGAATTTAAGGGCTGTTTTTATCATAGTTGCCCTTAATCAACTTTTTATTGATAAACTTACAAATTGCATAGGTAAAAAAAAATCCTTCATTGATTTAGTGTAAACATGTGTATCCCCCTTAAGGTGGCACGGTAGTATTTCCTGGCCCATAAGGGATAATGATAGCCTTTTTAGAATTTTCACCACTTTCTAACACTGCTAAAAATTCTACATTCACAGTTAACTGAAGTACTTTCATTTTACTATTCAGAAATGAATTTGAATATGTATCATGACCGTTTACTTTTTTTGCTATCTTTAAGAACCTAAGGTCACTAGTGCTTTTAGGTCTTTTATCGTGCAGTGAATACAAAATTTAAAAAAAATCTCAAAAATTCATTTTCATCTGTATGTAAAATTATTTCATATTTTTCTACACCTGATTCGTCCCTCAGTTTGGGAAAGTATGTTCAGTTGATACTGTATTTTTTGTCCAATCATAATGTTCAGATACATTGACTTAAGTAGGGTACACAAAAGAGCAACCTAAATTCTGGAATGCAAATACTACCGTGCTACCTTAACCAAGACATTTCAAAGTTGAAATCAGTCATGACACCTATGATGGATAGCCTGCTTACTATGTAACATATTACAATAAAGAATACTAGTCTGCACTTATTTCTTACCAAAAAAAAATGAAAGATTACACCCCTACCCCAGCTGTCAGATTTTCACTTTTTTATCATCTTACCATTTTTACTTAAGGAGTGAACAAAATCCAAATATATGATGTTTCAAATCAACACAGAAGTCAAACATGGTGATTCAGGAGGAATTATTGGATTGCCAACTCTATTTATAGTTAATCTGACTGAAAGAAACAGTTTAAGCACCAAATCATGAAAAATGATATTAAAGTCCATTCCACATTTTACAGCATGCCTTACATTACTTTAAGCATTTCCAGATTATGAAGGCAACACAACAAGATTCTTTAGATGGCAGTTAACTATTATTCTAAAATCTTTTTGACAATATATGTACTAGAATATATCTCTAGATTGACTGTTTGTCTATTTCTCATGTATGCATTAAGTTAAATTATGTCCCCTTACATAATCATTTTCCCTTTATTGTGCTTTTCATTGTCAGAAAATCAAAACAATTAATGACATTTGCATGGAAAATGAATAAACTATTTAATCTTGCTGATAAACAATCATAATTACATTCTTTGTCAAAAAAAATGTCTTGTCAGTGTAAAGAAACCCCTATTGCTATCCCTATTTCAGCCAAATATGAGGGCTAAATGAATCAGTAAGGACCCCTTAACCACTTGCTGGTTCCAAAAAAGCTCATACTGGTGTCATGTTACCACAGAACTACAAATTAAACCTAAAGAAAACTAGTAAAGCTGTACTTGTGTGGAAAAAAATAAGAAATTATGCAATTTATTTATTTCGGTGAAAATAATAGGATGTACAGGCAAATAAAATATGTCGCGTCTCAAATTCCAGTGGTTGCACATGTGTCAGACACTGCGAAAAGTTAAAGCGAGCATTTATAATTAAAAATGTATTGCAAGTTACATAAAAATAAAGAAGTTCTACTTTCTAGGTAAATTTTTACCTTATTACCCACAGATCAGGCAAAATTTGCTGAATCAGCAATTTTCACTCCCAGGGGTGGAATTTAAGGGCTGTTTTTATCATAGTTGCCCTTAATCAACTTTTTATTGATAAACTTACAAATTGCATAGGTAAAAAAAAATCCTTCATTGATTTAGTGTAAACATGTGTATCCCCCTTAACCAAGACATTTCAAAGTTGAAATCAGTCATGACACCTATGATGGATAGCCTGCTTACTATGTAACATATTACAATAAAGAATACTAGTCTGCACTTATTTCTTACCAAAAAAAAATGAAAGATTACACCCCTACCCCAGCTGTCAGATTTTCACTTTTTTATCATCTTACCATTTTTACTTAAGTAGTGAACAAAATCCAAATATATGATGTTTCAAATCAACACAGAAGTCAAACATGGTGATTCAGGAGGAATTATTGGATTGCCAACTCTATTTATAGTTAATCTGACTGAAAGAAACAGTTTAAGCACCAAATCATGAAAAATGATATTAAAGTCCATTCCACATTTTACAGCATGCCTTACATTACTTTAAGCATTTCCAGATTATGAAGGCAACACAACAAGATTCTTTAGATGGCAGTTAACTATTATTCTAAAATCTTTTTGACAATATATGTACTAGAATATATCTCTAAGTTGACTGTTTGTCTATTTCTCATGTATGCATTAAGTTAAATTATGTCCCCTTACATAATCATTTTCCCTTTATTGTGCTTTTCATTGTCAGAAAATCAAAACAATTAATGACATTTGCATGGAAAATGAATAAACTATTTAATCTTGCTGATAAACAATCATAATTACATTCTTTGTCAAAAAAAATGTCTTGTCAGTGTAAAGAAACCCCTATTGCTATCCCTATTTCAGCCAAATATGAGGGCTAAATGAATCAGTAAGGACCCCTTAACCACTTGCTGGTTCCAAAAAAGCTCATACTGGTGTCATGTTACCACAGAACTACAAATTAAACCTAAAGAAAACTAGTAAAGCTGTACTTGTGTGGAAAAAAATAAGAAATTATGCAATTTATTTATTTCGGTGAAAATAATAGGATGTACAGGCAAATAAAATATGTCGCGTCTCAAATTCCAGTGGTTGCACATGTGTCAGACACTGCGAAAAGTTAAAGCGAGCATTTATAATTAAAAATGTATTGCAAGTTACATAAAAATAAAGAAGTTCTACTTTCTAGGTAAATTTTTACCTTATTACCCACAGATCAGGCAAAATTTGCTGAATCAGCAATTTTCACTCCCAGGGGTGGAATTTAAGGGCTGTTTTTATCATAGTTGCCCTTAATCAACTTTTTATTGATAAACTTACAAATTGCATAGGTAAAAAAAAATCCTTCATTGATTTAGTGTAAACATGTGTATCCCCCTTAAGGTGGCACGGTAGTATTTCCTGGCCCATAAGGGATAATGATAGCCTTTTTAGAATTTTCACCACTTTCTAACACTGCTAAAAATTCTACATTCACAGTTAACTGAAGTACTTTCATTTTACTATTCAGAAATGAATTTGAATATGTATCATGACCGTTTACTTTTTTTGCTATCTTTAAGAACCTAAGGTCACTAGTGCTTTTAGGTCTTTTATCGTGCAGTGAATACAAAATTTAAAAAAAATCTCAAAAATTCATTTTCATCTGTATGTAAAATTATTTCATATTTTTCTACACCTGATTCGTCCCTCAGTTTGGGAAAGTATGTTCAGTTGATACTGTATTTTTTGTCCAATCATAATGTTCAGATACATTGACTTAAGTAGGGTACACAAAAGAGCAACCTAAATTCTGGAATGCAAATACTACCGTGCTACCTTAACCAAGACATTTCAAAGTTGAAATCAGTCATGACACCTATGATGGATAGCCTGCTTACTATGTAACATATTACAATAAAGAATACTAGTCTGCACTTATTTCTTACCAAAAAAAAATGAAAGATTACACCCCTACCCCAGCTGTCAGATTTTCACTTTTTTATCATCTTACCATTTTTACTTAAGGAGTGAACAAAATCCAAATATATGATGTTTCAAATCAACACAGAAGTCAAACATGGTGATTCAGGAGGAATTATTGGATTGCCAACTCTATTTATAGTTAATCTGACTGAAAGAAACAGTTTAAGCACCAAATCATGAAAAATGATATTAAAGTCCATTCCACATTTTACAGCATGCCTTACATTACTTTAAGCATTTCCAGATTATGAAGGCAACACAACAAGATTCTTTAGATGGCAGTTAACTATTATTCTAAAATCTTTTTGACAATATATGTACTAGAATATATCTCTAAGTTGACTGTTTGTCTATTTCTCATGTATGCATTAAGTTAAATTATGTCCCCTTACATAATCATTTTCCCTTTATTGTGCTTTTCATTGTCAGAAAATCAAAACAATTAATGACATTTGCATGGAAAATGAATAAACTATTTAATCTTGCTGATAAACAATCATAATTACATTCTTTGTCAAAAAAAATGTCTTGTCAGTGTAAAGAAACCCCTATTGCTATCCCTATTTCAGCCAAATATGAGGGCTAAATGAATCAGTAAGGACCCCTTAACCACTTGCTGGTTCCAAAAAAGCTCATACTGGTGTCATGTTACCACAGAACTACAAATTAAACCTAAAGAAAACTAGTAAAGCTGTACTTGTGTGGAAAAAAATAAGAAATTATGCAATTTATTTATTTCGGTGAAAATAATAGGATGTACAGGCAAATAAAATATGTCGCGTCTCAAATTCCAGTGGTTGCACATGTGTCAGACACTGCGAAAAGTTAAAGCGAGCATTTATAATTAAAAATGTATTGCAAGTTACATAAAAATAAAGAAGTTCTACTTTCTAGGTAAATTTTTACCTTATTACCCACAGATCAGGCAAAATTTGCTGAATCAGCAATTTTCACTCCCAGGGGTGGAATTTAAGGGCTGTTTTTATCATAGTTGCCCTTAATCAACTTTTTATTGATAAACTTACAAATTGCATAGGTAAAAAAAAATCCTTCATTGATTTAGTGTAAACATGTGTATCCCCCTTAAGGTGGCACGGTAGTATTTCCTGGCCCATAAGGGATAATGATAGCCTTTTTAGAATTTTCACCACTTTCTAACACTGCTAAAAATTCTACATTCACAGTTAACTGAAGTACTTTCATTTTACTATTCAGAAATGAATTTGAATATGTATCATGACCGTTTACTTTTTTTGCTATCTTTAAGAACCTAAGGTCACTAGTGCTTTTAGGTCTTTTATCGTGCAGTGAATACAAAATTTAAAAAAAATCTCAAAAATTCATTTTCATCTGTATGTAAAATTATTTCATATTTTTCTACACCTGATTCGTCCCTCAGTTTGGGAAAGTATGTTCAGTTGATACTGTATTTTTTGTCCAATCATAATGTTCAGATACATTGACTTAAGTAGGGTACACAAAAGAGCAACCTAAATTCTGGAATGCAAATACTACCGTGCTACCTACAAGTGTAAAAAAATCGAGACGACCTATTCTTAACATGTAAAACAAATTGTAGAATCTTTTAACGGAAAATTATTTTTTGTAAACATATTTTCCTTGAATTTTCTAACATGAACAAACAAACGATTTTAAATGTTATATTCCAAAAAAAAAACATTTTTTTTATATTAAAATTTCACGTGACTATAAATAGAACGCCGCGTTGGAAAAATTGATTGCTGAAAAAAGGAACATTTCGGGAAATTGTACCATGTAATGTACTATATCGGACACGCTGAAAATTGGTGTAAGGAAAGATTTTCTGTAATCAGATTTTTAATGTACATGTTTTTTTCGAACAAGTTTTATCAATGTGCAGTAAAGAATAACAGTTTTGTACATATTATTGTATCAGGTTTCCAATGTTTATAGTTATAAAATAAGGGATTTGCATTTCAATATAACTTTATATATACAGATATCTTTTTTTTTGATTTACGATTGTTGTTTCGAAATAACTTTTATCAGTATGGTTACCAATTACGAACTTTTGATTTTGTCACCTTTCTCGGGCAACGACTAACTAACCTATTATTCTCACCTCATCAGTTTAACTGTTGCGCGAACTACTTGACTGGCGGTATCCTCAGGGACGAGGCATTTCTAAGCGGTTGCATCGAAGATGATTTAATTTTACATTGCTATTATTCAGTTTCCTTGATATATTATAAAGAAAGTTTTCTGTTAAATGTCATGTCTTTTCTAGGTTGTTTAAGTTTTGTAATATGAAAAAAGAAGATGTGGTATAAATGGCAATTAGACAACATCCACAAGAGACCAAACGATTTGGGTGCAAGCATCTTTAAGTCACTGTACGGCCTTCTACAATGAGCAGATTACATATCGTGTAGTAAGTTTTAAAAGGCCCAATCATGACAAAAATGTAAAACGAGAAAACAAAAAGTCTGATTATGTACAAAACAATAAATGAAAAATAAATATGATAGAGAGCAACCAACGACAACCACTAAATTTTCAGTCTCCGGACTTTTGGCATGCACATACATACTGTGGCGGGTTTAAAGTGTTTTGTATATGTGCGATCAACTCTCACTTTAGGGACAGCGTTGTAACAGTACAACACAAAAACAAGCTGTAAAATATTGTTGAAAAAAATATTGCAAAGAACAAAAGCAAATGATTTGTACTAAATTTATACCTGGCAATATTCCCTTTGTTTGCTGTGTTCAATCTTTGTTTTCTTTTGTCCTAGAAAAAAGAATTAGAAAAATGTATCGACTAATTCTCTCTGGCTATGAAATGACATGCATATAGGCCCTTAACTTATCACATATTTTTGCATTATTACTGGTTTCGGTTATCTGGAACTAGAAAATTAAAGTCAAGGTCAAGGGACATCTGTCAGATTTTCGTTTACTCATTGCAATCAAACCAAATTCCAAATACATTTTATCAATCATGTAAAGTTCCTGTGCATGAGACCCACCATAAAAAATTAAACGTGACAACTGGGGCGTGAAATGTATTTCAATGTCATATGACATATAATAAAAGAACATATACTGCCACTATCAAACTATACACCAAGTACAGTTATTGTTGACGCATATTTAAAAGTTTTTAAGAAAAAAACCTTCTGAAATCCTGAATACGGACCTATGCAAGTGAGGTCAAGGCCATATGACAAATGTCAAACTGACATATACTCATCACAATCAACTCAATACACACATATATTATTAACCTTTCATGTTTGGCTACTGAGGAACAGACCTCATCTCGGAAACATTTTCTTTCCACTGTAGCGTGAAAACGAAGCAAAGATCAAATGACAATAACTGGTTGACAAGATCTCATTATCAACAATTTCCTGGCAAATGTTTTGTCATTATAAATGAGAGTGGTCACCTTCTTCGTAGTACTTATGTATCGCCACTTCTGTCGCAGACAAGACAAAAACCAAGCTTTCAAAGCTAACTCATATTAGGCACTGTCATTAGTAGTCAACATATGCCACCAAAACGTATTTAGCTTATCACTATTGTACTGAATATTTGAATAGATTTTGCAAATCTGTGGTGGTAAATATAAACTGTTACCTTTGAAAGCGAATTCTCGAAGCCGTATGTAAAAGACTGATGCCAGCAGCAGAATAAAAACACAGCAAAAGCAAGCAGCGATGTAAGCAGATAATTTAACTGTGTGAAAATGTCCTTTAGCTACAAAATCAATTACGTATTCAAGTTTAGGTATCTTAATTGTCAGGAATATACATATATGAATGTGATACGATAAAGTAAAAAAATATATATTATATGTAACAGGGGTTTTCTAAATCTAGGCATTTTGTTAAATGACTGAATTTTCGGGTAATTTAAGAAATGCCTAACCTTGACAGGTATTATATAAAATGACTAAAAATACCTTGTAAAATGACTGAAATTTTAAAACAATATTAAACAAATTGCCTGTATAGTGTCCGGTTATTTGTAGAAAAAGAATATCATTGAGATACATATGACAAAAACACAATATCTTACGAAGGCAAATGCAAATGGTTCGGTAAATTAAGTTTATTCTTCAAATACCAGCCTGGATAGTTTAAATGTCTATAAGTAGGTTAAATATGTGCTAACTCTGTTTTTCAGATAGAAATGTTTTGATCTTCTTATCACGATGGCAGAAGGGCAAATCGCTCTTACAATAAAACAAAATTTGCAATCGAATTTAAAAAATTCTAGATTCAAAACAAAAGTGTGTAATATGAAGCAGAGAAAAAGAAGGATATGTTTTGGTTGACTGATTGTTGTTTGTTTGCATTCAGTAGCAAATATTTCATTCATATCTAGAACGAGAACAACTTGATAATAAGTTAAAAAGGTAAGTTGTGCAATGGATTGACCCGGATAAAGGACAGGTATTTCGACTGCCGCTTGAATTAAATGTATGTTGGATAAGGACAGAAATTGTACATTCCAACAGGACACCTACGGAATGTTCAAAGGGTTCTTTACGTGCAGAGAGCATGGAATTCTCCTTACACGAGGCATCAGATTTAATATCCCAATTCAGAAAGAAAGAAATCTATACATCTTTCACATTTTCCTTTGTAGCATTGGGTTCACTATGCAAGGCCGTGTTTGGTTATGATGCAAAGATATGAGTTTTTCCATCTTTTCTGAATCAAGAGAATTATTTGGTCTTTTCAATCTGATGAATTAAATGAATAGTAGTTGAAGAATGTTAAAATCTCGAAAATTGATCAAGAAGAAATAAATCAAGGTAATCTTGACACAAAACCTGCGGAAACCGAATAAACTCAATAAAAAGCTAGATCGAGTGCGTTGACAGTGTACATGTCTTCAGCTATGCAAACTTCATCCGCCATGCGAAGATCTGCTTCAGTCTGTTGAATACTCTGATGAGCGAAAGCCTAATCTAACTAATAATGCTGATGATACTTAGTATCTTTTGGCAACACACGAAAAAGGAGGTATTCATGTGTGTGCTGTTTGCAAAACACCATGTTTTTAGAACGCTAAGTGTTTTAACAAAAACAGTCTTAAAATGCAAGCGTTAAAATTCAGTAATAAAAAGATAAAACTTGTCTGTTATTCAATACTTTCAATGGCTCAGTTTTTATGAACATTTCTTTCTATGAAACAATTTCAGGCATTTACAAAATACCTTTACAAAATGCCTTTTTGAATTGTTCTATTCATGTTGTAAAATGCCTTTCAATTTAAATGACTGAAGAAAATATTCAATGTATAAAATGTCTGAATCTTACAGGCATTTTATATAATTACTAAAGTTTTCAGGCATTTTACAAAATGCCTAAATTTAGAAAATGCCTGTAACATATATAATAGAACTCCCAGATATCCATTTTGGCTTTCAGTTGGATGTTATGGTAACATAATTTTAGATTTATTCAAATCAAGAAAGACGTTTTTTTTATATGAAACGAGGACATGTGCCAATATTGTTTTTAATGGTGAAGAGACATTAATTGTCGAAATGCGCATCTGGTGCACTAAACTTGGTCCCATTGATGTTATTACTACCACTATGGCTATACCTCTGCTGCTGGACTGTTAGTACCCGATGGTATTACCAGCCCATTTCGATACTGGCATGAAAATACGGATATCGTTCGATTAAAATTTGCTGTTATAAAATTTGGAAATAACTTTAAATTAAGGAATAAATCTCCCTCGTACAAAGCTCTGATTTCTTGTCCGGATAGTACATGTTCTTTTTTTGGTTTGATCCGCAGTTTTACCATTCCTATTAGATTTTGAATACTAAAATATTTGGCCTCGAGCATCACTGAAGAGACATTAATTGTCGAAATTCGCATCTGGTGCATTAAACTTGATTCCGTTTATGTTATTGCAACGACTAGATTGGAGAACTAAGCCTTTATTTCTAGATGTAAGTCAAGATATGAGACAGACTTAACTGAATCATTGATCAATCGATTAATTGCCATATATGGTCAATTATTGACGTCTGACACGATGTTGTTTCAATAAATTCACGGAGTTGCACTCGTAATATCGATATAAGGTAAGGATGAAGATTTTTGTAATTGTTTTCAATATTTTCCTTAAATAATTTTTGTAATTGTTTTCAATATTTTCCTTAAATGTAATTGGAAATTATTCAGAAGATGAATTTGTCTATATATTATTGGTTTTACTACTGCCATGACAAAATGTTTCATACTGTGACATTCTGTGTAATGATTTCCTTTTATCAAATGATTTTTGTAATTGTTTTCAATATTTTCCTTAAATGTAATTGGAAATTATTCAGAAGATGAATTTGTCTATATATTATTGGTTTTACTACTGCCATGACAAAATGTTTCATACTGTGACATTCTGTGTAATGATTTCCTTTTATCAAATGATATGTCATCCTTATGAATCATGAAATCAAACATTCGGTCAAGTATTGCGAAATAAAACAATGAATAATATAAGAGGAAACACTTACACATTGTATTTGAATGAAGTGTTTGAATTGTCACATTGTCTGTGTCATCACTCTTTCCTATATCATTTCGTGCATACATATAAACAATATACTCCATATTCTCAGAAAGATCTTGAACTGTATGGCGTCCTTCATTTAACGAATGTACAACTATTGTCCAATTTATAGCAAGCACTGAGCGGTATGTTATTACAAAATGTTGACGATAGTGACCATCATTACCAGGCATCCACATGACTTCAAAACTGTCGTGAAATGGCTTTACTTTAAACATCATAGGTTTAGCTGGCACACCTGTATTTTGAAAGTATAGTGAGAAATTTAGCATTGTAAGATGACTGAAGTCTCCTAATATGTATGCCAATCTTGTGATTGTCCTGTTCTTGTCAACAAATGATAAAATTGAAAAGGTTGGCATATAAATTTATGACACAAAATCCTAAAGGACTGCTGCAATTTATATCAAAGTCGCAATGGACATACACAAGATCACATCTGAATGTTATTTCAATACAACCCTTTGCGCTGGTTTTAATGGCATACTTTCTAGATCATTTATGTATTGCGAGACACACCTGGACTACAAAAAATGCACTGTTATTTTATTTTGTGTGCGAGAGACTGTTTCAAATAAATTATTGTCTGTTTGCTTATTAGTATTTGTACATTTCTATAGTATGATGTACCCATTTCCATAAACGTGTTATCATTTATAAAAAAAAGGTTCATGTTGAGACAAAAAAACCATTAAAACCATAATAGCAGTGATAACATATGGTTAAGGTATCATTAATCTGGTGACACAAATCATGTAAGCAGTTTAGATTTCATTAATGCATATTAACTAGTAATAATCTCAGAAAGAGTAAAAGTATTTGGCAAATGCCGATTAATTAACATATGGCATAATTCTTCGCTGTTTTCTTTCCGTTTTTACAAATACAATCTAAATTTCTTTGACAATGGTGTCCATGTAAAAATTGTTGGGTAACAAATACGATGTTTATACCATACATTTAATGTCATAATATTGAGTTGTTCATTTGTGTATAGTTTTTTTCTAAATGCTTTTCATATACACGTTTGACATCTGTGGTTTATTATTTTTAAAATGTTGCTAGAATACTCAGTTTTTTCAAATAATTATCCTATGCTAATGTAAATTCATTGTGAATCATTGTTAAAATTAGAATAAACAAAACACTTGAGTGGCATAATAGTGTCAAGTAGTTGTACATAAGACACACTAGGTGCATTTTGAAAGTACTATTCCTGTTTGAAATACTTTATAACCAGAAAAAAAAACAATAAAAATAATTATTGAGTACTTCTATATAATTTATCTTCAATTACTTAAATTACTTTAGTCTGCTAGAATTTTCTCTTTTGGTTTAGATTTCGATTGACCATGTTACTGAAACTAATTTCGTTGCATGTGTAACATGCTGGCAAAAAAATTAATACTATAGTATTGACAAGGCAGGTGGTAAAAACCGGTAAAGACCGGAATATACTGGCAACTACTAGCAAATACTGGTTAATAATGGACAGTGATTCCTTCCAATAAAATGTTGAAGCAAAAATAAAAGCAGAAGTTATGAGTATAGATCCTTCAAATTTGCCATTTCCTGTATGTAGAAGATTTGTATTATGCTGTTGAAAAGTCAGGAAAAAGTAAAATAACAAAAATACCGAACTCCAAGGAAAATTCAAAACGAAAAGTCCTTTATCAAATGGCAACATTAAAATCTCAAACACATCAAACGAATTGAAAACAACTGTCATATTCCTGACTTGGTACAGGCATATCCTTATGTAGGAAACAGTGGATTAAACCTGGTTCTATAGTTGGCTAAACCTCTCACTTGTATGACAGAAGCATAGAATTCCATTATATTGACAACAACGTGTGAGCAAAACAAACAGACATAATAGGTAAAAATGTCAAAAATAGGGGTACAGCAGTCTACATAATTATTGTTTAAGGCAGTCTTCAAAAATTTATTAGGGGTATGTCATTAAAATATTAGTAATGTCAATCAACCAGTATTTACCAGTATTGGCCACTTGAGGAGTTTTGCACGGTGCGGTAAATACCGTTGGTAAATACCGGGTTGGTATGTACCGCCAAAGCTTGCTGTGTAAACACTTTGTAAACACATATGATGAAGACGTTATCTTTCAATCAGTTTAATTGAGGTCTGGAGCTTGCATATCAGTAACTGCTAGTAGTCCATTAATCATTTATGTATCATTGTCATTTTGTTTAGTTTCTTTTGTTACCTATGCTGACATCGGACTCGGACTTCTTTTAACCTGAATTTACTGCGCGTATTGCTGTGTGTTTGTTTTTTCTACATTGGCTAGAGGTATAGGGGGAGGGTTGAGATTTCACAAAAAATGCTTAACTCCGCCGCATTTTTGCGCCTGTCCCAAGTCAGGAACCTCTGGCCTTTGTTAGTCTTGTATGATTTTTAATTTTAGTTCATTTATACGTTTTGGAGTTTAGTATGACGTCCATTGTCACTGAACTAGTACACATTTTTGTTTAGGGGCCAATGGAAGCACGCCTCCGGGTGCGGGATTTTCTCGCTGTGTTGAAGACCAATTGGTGGCCTTCGGCTGTTTTCTGCTCTTTGGTCGGGCTGTTGTCTCTTTGACACATTCCCCATATCCATTCTCAATTTTACTTTGTCGATTTAACTGTGATATATTCATGCGTGATACACATGAATGAAATCCTTGTGTTTCAAGAATTTTGAAATTGAAAGAAAAAATAAATAAACAAATGCTTTGGTCAAGAATTCAAAGGATCACCCACATATTGTTTAGAGGTTATGGATACATAATTGTCCAGACTTTTATTCAGTTTGTGAGATAAACGAACCCCAGTTAACACATCAAACCTCTAGAAAAATGGGTTTATTCATATAGTTAATTAATAACATTGCACCCTTATCTATATGTTATCAACTCACGGCCTTCTAATAGATTTGTCGAACAGCTGGAATTTCCATGTTCATTATAAATATATAATGTATACTGAGTGTCTAAGTGACTTTCCGTCAGATTTGACATTTTCAGTGCAATTGTCGTTGTATTAAGGCTAACTGAAGACCCATACATAACTACGGAGGTTGTCGATTTGTTTGTTGAAAATTCGTAATCATAGGTCTGGTTTAGACTGCAGTTTCCATTCCACCATTGGTAACGTGAAATGTTCGTGCTATATACGTCGAAAGCTATCATGACAGTAGCAGTCCTTTTCCTAATTATTTGGTCATTGTTCTTAGGAAAGCAGTGGGGTTTACCTGAAATATAAAGTTCTATAAGAATAAAACAAATCACACAAAAGAAAAGGTGGTCATTGTGTCAAAGGATAGAACTATAGAAGAGAATTCATAGGAACATGTTGTTTTGAAATGGGCAATTGAATATTTTTCTATAAACAGATATAATTGTCTTTTTGAAAACACAAAAATTCAACATTACACTGACGTAGCATTGATGGTAACAAGATATTAGATATAAAATAAAATGAACGGATTCCGTGATGTGTTCTATAGTTGTCCTCATGTTTGTATTGTTTCTGTATTTTACAGTCAGATTGTCGAGTAGTTTATATTTGTTATATTAAGTTATGTATTAATTAAAATGTAAATTCGTATTTTATTAAAGTATTTAATAAAATGTTTTGCCGGAGATAATATATAATTTGTTGAATGTTTTTGCACCGCCATCTTTAAATTGATTCAGGTGAAAGTTTTTGCTTCACGTTGAAGGCATCGCCGTATGTTTTAGATGAAGAATATCATTTAGTTGTTTCGGAATTGTGGGTCCTCAATGTTCTCCAACTTCGTACTTTATTTGGCTTTTTTTAAAACTTTATTTTATTCGACCGTCACTTATGAGTCTTTTGTAGACGAAACGCGCATCTGGCGTACACAATATAATCCTGGTATCTATGTTGAGTTTATTTTCCTTTGCTATTTCATGTGCCTGTGGTGATTTTGTGTCTTGATATATCGATTGATAATACATGCTGGTCATATAATTTTACGGTTATGGCGTATTCATTCATGAGATCATTTCGCTTTTGTGTGCTACCTTAATTTTTCGCTTTCGGTCAGTTTGTCGATTAAAATCCTCGCTTTTCTTTTGTCATAAAGTGGTTTCAAGATATTCAATACAAAGCTTCCCGCTTGTGCATTATTGAGGTATTATTTTTGAATTCTGGTAAAAATCAATATAGTTATTTTGTAAATGCAATTGATTGTTTTGTTGTCATGTGGTAACATTTTACTAGTGCATGATGCAAGCGATGAACATAGTAACACGCAGGGTAAATAGAAATATATTTGTTTCTATATATATGATTAACGATCAAAGTAAATATTGGGTTGACAGGACAAGAGTTGTGTTTTATATACTTTTCAAACAATAAGAAATTATAAAAAGACCAAGGAATTGGTCAATATTACCTTTTCAAAATACTACAATATGATTGCACCATAGCAACACGAGAAAACAAGACATAACATAAGTTATACACAGTCCCTTTTAAAATGACAATGTTTAAGTTACAATCATAAAAAAATCATTTTAAAGAAGAGATACTTATATTCCTACCTGGAAAATATACATCTTTGTATCCATTTTGGAAAGTAATGTTGTTTTCGTCTGGAACTCCATTGCTAGCTTCACATTGGTACCGACCATCTATAGTGTAAATTGGTTTGTCACTGTTCGTATCAACTGTAAGCAAACTCGCGTCTTTGCTCTGGAGAGTGCGCAAATAATATCCATTTGTAGAACTATGTTCCCATTTTGAAAATGTATAAATATTTGGAACACCAGTGGCATTGCAGAAAAGTGAGCCATTCTTCAGTTGTTCTACAACCACCTGAGGTGCAACTGTAAAATATTAAAATCAAACTGACTGAAATTCACTATCACAGTGTATTCTCCTAATTATTAACACACATCAAATTTTGTGCAGACAAAAATTGTTGAACGTAATGGGCGAAGATTACGGTTTTATTATCCTCGCGGCAAAATATGCATTTAATATGATTTTTGTTGTTAAGAATGTCAAAGGAGAAATTCATTCGTTAGTCCATAGTATATATTAAATCTTAAAAAAAAAACTGTGTAAAATATGTGATAAACCGTTTGTAATAACCAAAAGACGAAGTTGACAATTAAGAACAAATAAAATATTTTCTCAGATGTCTG